AACAAAAAAACAAAACAACAACAAACTATGTAGATTTTGCAGATTAAACTTTCCAGAGACACACACACACACAGCCTCTGAAGCAGACATAAGCGGGCTTTAAAAATTTGTCAGTGATCCCCCTGCTAATGACGCTCTCAGCTGTGAGAGTTGACCCCCTCCTGCCCTCGGCCCTCCCTGCTCCTCCTCCCCTCCTCCTCAAACACTAATGAATGCCAGCGAGGAACTCCGAGTACCCTACACCCCCACAGCCACCACCCACACACATCAACACACACACACAACACACACACACACACGCACACTTACACAAACAGCAGGATCATCGTCACCACTGCGGAGACGGCTATCACCAAGTGGAATTCAGGCCATTAATATCTGACCCCTGTTACCTGAGGCCTGTCAGTCATGTTGATCCATCTGGACAGGTTTATTTACCTATTAAGTGTGTGTGTGTGTGTGTGTGTGTGTGAGGATACAAATAGTAAGAATGTGATTAGTGCTGAACCAGTTAATCAATTAATCGATTATTACTTTGACATAAAATGTATCCCAAAAACCTTTGATAATTCCTAATTTTTTAATTTGGCTTTCTCAAATATAAGAATTTGCTGCATTTCTCTGCGTTTATATAACTGTTAATGATATAAAAATCCAGTATCATTGGACTGTTGGTCTGACACAACATGCGATATAAAGAAGTCACCTTGGGCTCTGATGGGCATTTTCACCACTGTTTGATATCAAATCATGTGCAATCTGTGTACAAGGGGATTTCTGACTTTGTTTCTGCTCTCATGGTTCTTTTATATTCATACAATGCATCTCACCAAAACGATAATGAGAATGGAGGTGGCCCTGTTGTTAGCCAATTAAAAAGTCCTCCATGGTTCTGGGCAGCCACTAATAACCCCACCAGGGATTACTGTACAGCAGGCTGGGAGGACAGCAGGACACCAGTTTGGGCCCCAGCTTGCTGTCATCCATGAGAAGCAATGCTGTAGACCACCATTCACTCCCAGTCTTAGTGGGGCCACCACGCCAACTCTCTAGAGCAGCGTGAAAAGCTCCCACTTGGGATACAAAGTGGCTCAGCTGTCCCTCTCCTATCTGCACCTCCCACGGCGCCCTCCTCTACACCCAAGCCAAATAAAGCCTCTCAGCGACTTCTGTTTTCCTAATCTGTGAACTCTGACAGAGGCGCCTACGCTTGAAAGAGAGACAACTCAACATGGGATGATCTCCCGGTGACAGGGAGAAGCTGAAAAAACGAAACCACCAGACCACCCTGTCATCTTCCTGTTGTTGTCTTTCTCTCTCTTTCTCTCCCCCCTCTCTCTTTCTCAGCCTGTCTTTCTGCCCACGTACTTTAAATCTGTTTTTCCTTCCTTTTTCCCTCCATCATCTACCTTCTCTAATTGGGCTGTCACTGTGTGATTAAAACCATTGAATCTGTTCCAATAGCCAAATGGCCTGACCAGTCATTGTGGTGATGCACAACTTTTAATGCAGGGGGGCTCCCACTCTAAAAGCCCAATACGTTTTCATTCATTTACTTACTGTGCCCATAATACTAATGGGCAAATTGGGCAGACTGCAATAGCTTAGCCACTGGGGATTGTACCATGTCAGCACAAGTACATTTTCCTTGCCATTAATCCATAGAGGAATGTTGCAGTGATAAATTGGCTATGCAGTTTGTATTTGTCACTGCACTTCTTGCAGCCATTCACTTGGAAATGGATTAGCTGCCACAGGAACAGTGTGTCTTTTAACATACCAGATGGTGGTAGGTTTGTGTGCTGGGGGTCAGATCCAACTTTAAAGGCACAATCTGTGATCCAAATGTAAACAAAAGGGTAGCCGATAGCAAAATCAGAACTCGGATTGGAAGCTAATATCACTACTAGATTGACTGACATGTCTTTTAATACACAGATCAACACTACATTCACTTTCGTAGTGAGTGTTAGATGAGAAGATCGATACAATCTTCATGTCTGCACGCTAAATATGTAGCTATAGCCAGCAGCATTTCTGTGTGGTATTCATTGTCCTCTTCAAACAGAGACATGGGCCTGCAGCTGTTGCTACTTCAACCACATTTAATGAAAGACAATGTCTGCCCCCACTGAGGGGACTTGTGGCTTGTTAAACACACTGTCAATGCTGAAAGCAGAGAATTTTCTTGCTGAAACAGATTCTTAGTATTTCAAAGGTCAACCAACTACACCACCGTACTGACATCCTGGCAAGGCTTACGGCTCCAGAGAGAGTTTGTGGAACTGGTTCACATTTTGCAGTTTTTATAGCAATATAGAATATCTCTTATGTAGACTAGAAAAAGTTGTTAATAAAGACCAGCTTTTTGCCAGGGCATAGCGTTGCTGGACTGTCTCGGAGAACCATTAACACTTGCTGCAAGGCTAGCATCTATTTCAGAGGGCATACAGAGTGGAATTAAACAGCCTTGTCACTGTTCTCTCTCTGTTTAACCTACATGCTCATCTGCCAGACACGCCTGACAGCACCAGACCCTGGAAGAATCTCACAGCAGGCCCGGCAGCACACGGACCGCACCATATTTAGTCATCCAAAGTCCAGACACAGACCAATGCAGTCCCCCACCTTAATCTGTCTCTCCTCTGTTTCTCTCTCCATCTCTCCCTCTCTCATTTTTTATGTCCTTCCCCTAACTCCCTCCCTCCATCTCTGTCACTTTCCCTCTCTCCTACTGCTTCCATTCATATCTGTCCCCGCTAGCCCTCCCTCGAGTAATTTCTGCTTTATCACTGTCGTGCCCCTCGCTGTTTTTTTTCCCCTCATGTGTCCCTCTTTTCCTTCTTACCTACAAAACTGAAGCTCTGCTTTGCTTATGCCTGTTTGTCCTCTTTTCTCTTAAGCCTGTCAAGTATTTTCCTGCCTGGTTTTCTTTTTTTCTTTTTTCAGACTTCCTCGCACTGCCTCAACAACATGCCCATCACATTTTAAGTCGGAATAATTTCCTCTTTCCATCTTTTTTTCCCTCACCTGTCATAATTTCTACCCCTTCTTCCAGCTCCTTCCTGCCATCCCCCCTTCTTCTCTCTCAGAGCTTCCCCACCGTCTCTTTTCTTGGATGAACATGATGCTGATGGAAGCTGGGCCTGGATGCTAATGAGTTGCTAATTCTATCAGCCGCCTCTCCATGCCCTCCCCAGTGGGTGTCGGGCCCGCCAGCTTTACCACGGCCAGCCTTTTGATGGAGTGCCTTGGCTGATGAACTCCCGCCTGTGTGCCCACTTTAACCTCCTCGTCCTCAGACACATGTCATTGATCAATGTTCGTATCCACCCTGGCAAGGCCCACTCTTACTCCAGTCATTTATGAGCAGGCCCATTCCCTCAAATCCATTTTTCATATGTTGAATATTATAATAGCAGGGGTTTTTGTGTATAGTGTTTTCATGCTCAGGTCTTCAATTTTCTTGGAGTGGCTGCTTCAGAGCTTGGCATATTGGGAAATGTATGTTTATCTCTCTTTTTATCTCAAGTGAAGCAAAATGAAGCAGAAAAGAAGTCTGAAAAGACATTTAAAAATATATGTAGTTATCTATCAGTCTCCAGGATTGAATTAAGAAGTATTTTTACTTCTTGGTGACATTTTCTTCCTTTCTGTCTTTCTGCTCTGTATAATTCCCTCACGCTATTTTCCTTTAACACCCAATCGGTGCTTAAGAAGAGGCCAAATGGCAGGGTTTAAGCACTTGAGCACAGACGAGTGCTCCTATTTACCAGGCCACTAGGCTCTTTTTTTTTTAGGGTTGCTAGCTTTGGACCCCTCACATAAGAAAAGAACGAAACTTTTGTTTTTCTGACTCCCCTTAAATCCGTCTGTCTGCCTTCCCCGCTTGACTGAAGTGGATACAGAGGCGGCCTTTTGTTCTATCAAGATGAAGAGGAGGCTGTAGTATAAGAGGGAGAGTGAGGGTAAGAGGAGGTGGGTGTGATTCATTGTAATTTAATAAATACCTCGCAAAGAGGGTTGGGGTGCCTTCTCAACCCCTCAGCTGTCTGTTTTGAATTGGGGCTCTTCTAGATTTGACACCCAGGGAAGTAAAAAGGGGATTAGGGAAGGAAAAGCCTCAGGGAATATACATCTCTTTCTCTGTCTTGTTCTTTGCCCCAAAGCTTTCTCTCTCTGTGCTGCTCAATCTTTCTCTCTCTGTGGCAGAGAGGCCCCTCGTCTAGCTGTGAGCGTATGAATGATGTCATCCAGGTACCTATCTTGACCCAGAGATTTAGAAAGGCTTGAATGGAGTCTCTTAGCCTCAGTTCTTCTAATGTGGAGTATAATCCTCTAATAGCTATCACTTTTGGTGAATTTTCTGGTTCAGTGAATGAACATAATGCTGCATTCTCTTGAGTTAGCACTGTGTAACAATAGTGTTGCAACGGTTGATTTCCAGTCAAATTCACGCAAAAATCCTGAAGAGCAGAAAAGTAGCGCCATGTCATTTTATATGAAATAGTTTCCCTTTTTTGAGGACACACTCTGAAAACAGAGGTTTGACCAGGGTCACACGCGGTCCACTGCTTTGCAGCATCACCAAGGATTATAGGGTAACTTCTGCCATGCTGCTCAAGCATGACCAGAAGGCTTGGCCAGTTTTGACCTGAATGGAAGTACTGAATGAGAGGCCGGCATTGAAATTCAGGATGCAGTCACTTGCAGCCACTAATGTCTCTCTTTAAATGGTCACATCCTTTCTCTTGGGCCCCTCGTCTAACTGTCTTATCCTTTGACAGGCTTTTAGTCAATGAAACATTCACTTGTAATTGTACAGTACAAAAGATCCAATTTCCATTTCCTTTAAAAGAGCAAATATAATTTGTTTTTGAAGATGCACAAACTTGTTTTTTACAGTAGAATTCGATCAGTGTCACTTTTTATTTCATATCCTATTATGGTAAAAATATGTCTATGACACTGACCCTTCTGTTTGTTTCTCTCTCTTACAGGAAGGGCTCTGGTCAGCCTGAAGTGAAGGGTCACTGAGCTCAGACACTCTCCTTCCATTGACTCACAATTATACACAAATAGGGGAAAGTCACACACAGACACATCTGCACAACGACACATATACATTCACATTAACACTCATTTGGTACACTCGCAAAGAATCATCTGTGCATAAACGCAGAAACACATTCATACACAAGCCCTCTAAACAGGATGAGGGAACCCTGGAGGTGCCTGCTGGGCCTGTGCCTTTTGGCATGCTCAGCCTCCATCCACAGTGCCACCAATCCCTTTGCAGGTCAGCAGACTCCTCCAGACCCTTGCTACGATGACAAAGGCACAGCCCGCCGATGTATTCCCGAGTTTATCAATGCTGCCTTTGGCAAAGAGGTGATGGTGTCCAGTGTATGTGGCCGGCCTCCATCCCGTTCCTGTAGTGTGGTGGAGCGGGGCGATGATCGGCCTTCTGTGCGCACGTGCCAAATCTGTGATGCAGCTGACCCTCGCCGTGCCCACCCTTCTTCCTACCTCACTGACCTCAACTCAGCCCACAACCTCACCTGTTGGCAGTCAGAGAATCTGAACACCTCGCCATACAATGTGACCCTCACCCTTTCACTAGGTAAAAAGTTTGAGATCACCTATGTGAGCCTGCAGTTCTGTTCACCTCGACCTGAGTCCCTGGCCATATACAAGAGCATGGACTACGGCAAGACCTGGATGCCCTACCAGTTCTACTCCTCACAGTGCCGTCGTATGTACAATCGGCCCAACAAAGCAACCATTACCAAGCAGAACGAACAGGAGGCTTTATGCACAGATGGCCACACTGACCTCTACCCGCTTTCTGGAGGACTGATTGCTTTCAGCACTCTGGATGGACGGCCCTCCGGCAAAGACTTTGACAACAGCCCAGTCCTTCAGGACTGGGTGACTGTCACTGACATCCGTGTGGTCTTCAGCCGGCCCCAGCTACCTCGGGAACTAGGACTAGGGGCTGGAAGCAATAGCGGAGGGAGGGACGACGACCCCACGGCGGTGACATCAACACTGCCAACTTATTTCTATGCAGTGGGAGACTTCCAGGTGGGCGGGAGGTGTAAATGCAATGGACACGGCTCACGCTGTCTGAAAGACAAGGAAGGCAAACTGGTGTGTGACTGCAAGCACAACACAGAGGGACCTGAATGTGACCGCTGCAAGCCCTTTCACTATGACCGACCGTGGCAGAGGGCCAATGCCCGCGAGGCCAATGAGTGTCTGCGTAAGTCTTTCCCTCGATCTGTCATTCTATCTTTGCTTTTAGTTTGTCAGCTGTGGAACATACAAAAGATTTCTCTATGCCTGCCAACAATACAGGCCTGAGAGCTTAAATTTAACATATTTTCTGAAAGGAGACCTAACACAGTGGCTAGATAACATTATGTGTTTATCATAGAACTGAGAAGATGGGTTGTTCTTGTAGATCAAAACTTAGTCATTGTAGAAATATCCTTTAACAGTTTTTACATCAATTCAGTGACCATTATAAAAGGAGCATGCAACTGTAAAGTGGTGAAACCCACTCTTTCTTCATCTCTCTCTATGCTCTGTTCCTTTACCTTTCCTATGAATGTGGGAGTTATTATTTCCCTAGGACAATCTTCTGAAGATTTAACACTGTTGCACACACCATTTATATGCCAGAAGCCACATATTTGTCCGATACAGATATCCCATCCATAGTTCAAGTAGTGTATGAAAATTAGGATATATTTGAAAATTCAGGTTGTTTGTTTCTTTGTAGGATGGACTTATGACCTTTTCACCACCCATTTTCAGGATGTGAGGACAGCAATGTAAAATCAGGCTGACAAATTGAATTTATACATACACACAGGGAAAAAAAGAGGGAGGTAGAAAGTGAGAGATTTAACTATGATGACCTGTGTTTGACTGTCTCAGAAGTAATTAAGGATGTTGCCAGAACATACCGGATGGGTTTGTGTTTATACAGGTGAGGAGTTCTGGTAGAACATGGTGGTTGAGCTTGCAACTTTGGCAACGTCTTTAAAAACAAGAGCCCATCCTTTCTTTGCATTTCCCACCAGCCCTCTCTATTTACAGTTCCTCTACAGGGAAACAGGCCTACTTTCAACAAAATCATGTTTTCTGGACTTGTCTATGAAAATACTCTTTTTCACAAGCAAGTCTAAACAGTGGATGACAACAGCTCGAGTCATTGGCACACCGCTACAGCTAAGTCATCCAAGAATGTTATTTGGCAGTGTTTGCTTCTACCTCAAGACATGCTTTGTAAAAGTCATTTAGACGTGCTCTGAAAGCTTGCCAAGTAAAATTATAGCAATTTCTTTGGCAATTTTTGTTAATGTAAATGGATTACATTTGTATTGGATTAGGCTTTTATATGATGTGATATTTAGCAGATATATTAATTTCATGGTAGTAAAAATGTTTTGGACACATGCAACATTTTTAGAAGGTATTTCAGTTAATATGTGGATGTTTCTTTGGTGGTATTTCTTACAGCATTTCTCTGTTAGTATAAATAGACATAGGTGGAACTTAATTCAGGTCAATTTTGCTTGTCATAAAAATTTGTTAGCGTAGGAGAATAAAACTATATTAGAAACCACTGTCCCCATTTTAACCTTTCCCTATAATGAAATTAAATTACAGCTAGAGAGAAAAAAACGGGAGCAGAACATTGAAAAACAGTGTATATTTTTCTAACATGTTCTAATTGCCCAGTGAGCTGGCCTGAGATCATATTTAGCATTGAACAGTGCCAGATCTGTTTAAAGGGGACAGAGAGTGACAGAGCCAGAGGAGCAAGGCCATTTTAGCATGACGAATCCAGCCTTCCCTCTCGCGGCACTCTGAATCCTCCCATGCCAACACTCTGGCTTTGCAGACACTCTCACTTACTCAACTCACAGATACAGGCATGCACTCACACACATATACACCTAGCCCCTTCTAGAACAATATCCTGTAAATCCCTCAGTGTTTTCTCGCTAGCAGTTTTGCACACACCCTACTTCAAATGTCCCATAGCTGTTTCCGAAATGTTACACCAGCTTCCCGTAGATCTCTTCTCAGCGGGATTGATATGTCACTTCTATCCACGATTTCTGGACTAAACAGCCCGACTGCACCGGCCAATTCTGATGACCTAATCCCAGTGTTGATACAGGGCAGTTAAAGCCTATTGCAAGTTGCACGCTATACCTGATCACACATCCGGACACGCCAAAAAGTCAGTCCCAGATGTCCCCAATTTCATGTTCCAAAAGCCTTTTTACAGCTTATTCCAGTAGAAATGGTTCCAAAATATCCTCAGAGTAGCAAGAGAGCTTTTTTAAAAGCCCCTCCAGTGTATATTAAAACCCATTCTTAAAATGCACCCGCCCCTTGTTGATTTCTCTGCTTGCTTTTCTTTCTTACACGGTGCACAAATGGCAGCGGGCTGCACTGCAAGCCCTGAGGCACACCACTGAGGCAGCGAGGTGTAAGTATTTAGACTGGGCAAGTGTGTAAGAGTGGCAAGTTACAGAGCCAAGGAGTCCCTTAGGTGTCACCTGAGCCTTCATAAGGCCCTGCGGGTGTTTGGGTTGGAGGTAGGGTCTGAGGGGGCTGGACTGAGGTCATGATCCTTTGTGGGGTGGTGACAAGGTTAAGTTGACGGGGAGCTGGTTTGTGAATAATGAGGAATTTAGAGTGAGCAGTTGTAGAGCCAAATCAATAGTTGTTTCACACCCCACCTCTGAGTCTGTCTGGTAGTTGATTTCACCACTTTAAACATTATTGTTAAGATTTTGGAAGGCTTTGCTCTCCTCACTTTTAGCAGTCTTGACTTACCCTGCATAACAAGAAGATTGTCTCTAACAGGCTGGTTTGATTGTTCACTTGTCTTCCTAAATGTTTGACATGCACCGCACCAAGATTATTGTCTGAGGTCTTGGCAAGCTCATGTACTGTCTCCAGACACAAGCCATGCACACACACGCCCATCTGCCGCCTCCCTCACTATGAATCCTGCCTCAAGACATTGGTTTACAAATCCCTGCTCTAGTAGTCAGAGAGGGCAGCCTCGTAAAGGAGCGTGTCTGTTTGTATTGAGGGAGACATGATGGAAAAAGCTGTGATTTATCTGCCTGGAGTTTGAGCCACAGGACAGAATGAGGAAACAGATGGATAAGAGCTATTTGGTTACTGGTTGTGATGGAGGATTGGTTTTTCTTCTGGCATGGTCAATGCCGTAATGTAAATATTTTAATGTTGACTTAAAAATGTGAGACAGTGCATCATGCCATAATAGAGTCTGCCAGAGTCGCTGTATAAGATGAAGAGGCCTCTTATGGAGTCAACGACAATGTGACATCCTGAGTAGATGATAATTTATGTTGGTGTAGGAGCTCTCTTTTCTTGGCCGTGTCTTCAGCCATCCTGGTCCTGTTTGGCTGCAGCACCAAGCTGTTCTATTCTCCAGCCCTTCCTTTCCCTCATTTGGACTCAGCCTGCAGGAAGTCCAGAGTACTGCTCTGGGACGCTATGACCCTAGGGCCAGACACCATCTATCCCTAATGGACCAGCCAAGCCAGGTCTGTTTCCAGTGTTGCACCAGGCACACTGGTGTGCATTCATAGCATTAAATACAGAGGTCACATGAAGGCTGAACTGCCATTTGGGCTGATTTGCCAGAAATGCAGGTGAGCTGCGGTTGGTAGCAGAGTTGGGTGTTGCTGCTCTGCTGCAGTGTTTGGGTGTGGTGTTGAATATTTTGGATAGTAATTTTTGATATATTGAGTCCAGTGGATAATGAGTGATATGGTATTCTGTTTTTTCACAAGAAAAGGAGTTTCCTATTAAATTAAATTAAATTAAATTAAATTAAATTAAATTAAATTAAATTAAATTAAATCTATCAACCAAATGAGTTTTCACTGCACTCTCATTACACATCAGTCCATGTCATCACCTGAAGGAAATTCCCACAAATTAGTTATTACCTCTAAAAAAGTTATTACCTGTTATATAATAGATGTTAGATCATGTCTGCCACACTAATAAATGAGCGGTTGCATTAAAATGTGAATTTTGGAAGAAGGAGAAGCAGAACAGGCAGATATTTAAGTTGCAAGCCTTGTCACAAGTCTGCTCAAACCTGTTGTGGGGGCTTGTGGTTTTTGGTGGGCTCAACCTCTGTTTTTTGGAAACTATTAGCTGGAATTAGGGGGAATTTGACAGATGGGTTTCTTAGGGAGAGCAGTGTGATCCAGCAGAGGTGTGTGTGTGTGTGTGTGAATGTGTGTCAGAGAAAGAGGCCAGCCAGGAACACATGCTCAGGAACAGGGCTCAGAATAAGCCCTCAGATCTATGGAAACTCTGAAGACCACAGAAGCACAGATTTCTTTCTCTCTCTCTTTGTTTCCCTCGCCGACAAGGGACAGATGGTTATTTAATGCTGATTAGAATTTCAAAATAGACCTCCATCTTTCACACCATTTTTCCCCCTCCACATCTCCTAGCAAGGGCAAGCAGAGGTCAGACCCATGTTCCAGTCATAGAGAAGATTCGTCAAGACACTTTTTAGGCCTGGTGATTGAGAAATGACCTCATTCTTAAACACATGAAAGAAAGACATTCATAAAACCATGGCACAGTTTGTGAGCTTGCATGATTTGGATAACACGAACAATGCCACATTTTGTAGTTTCTCAATCGCAGCATGGAGAGGAGCAGGATTTCTGTGCTTTTGTTCTTGCAACACAATGTTGTTTGGTCTTGGGTATAACAAAGTTGACCTCAGTAGATTGCTTTGAATTTCCACATTAGAATCCTCACACAGCAGCCTAAAATTGTGTTCTATGGCCTACTGAAATTTTGCTGTGTGACATGAGATGTCAAATATAGACGGGATGAAAAAAGCCAGAGCTGGTGTGATATTACTGCATGTATGTGTCATGTTCCTACTTTCACTAATTGACTTAAAGACCCTCCCACCTCCGCTGCCTGTTGCTGGAGGCTACAGGACCAACACTTCCATTACTTACAGTGCGACACACAAATGAGCCGGACATGTCTGTGTGCGTGGTTTGGTGGGGGGCGGGCTGCAGAGCAAAGAAAGAAGCGATTTTGAAAAAGAAACCTCCTGTGCTTTCAAATAATTACACAGCCAAGGAATGTTGTTCTAAAATCAACAGCCCTATGAAATTATGCCTCTGGGGTGGTTAGCGTGAGACGAAGGGACTACTGCACAGC